TCATGGTTATTCCAAATGCACAATATTTCGAATGATTTTCAGCTGCTGTAACACTGCATGTTCATTCACTCACTCCTGAGGTCTCAAAGCTAGAAAACATTTAAGATTTATCTTCTACCTTCAGGTTTCTCCATCTCATTGCACAGTCCACCCAACACTTGTTCTGGGCACAGAACTCTGGCTCTGCACTGTCGTCTTTTTGTCATACTTTCAGTACTAAAATTTCCTCTATTAGCAAGTTTCTAATCCAAGGCCATACTTTCAGAGGGTTACATGTCCATTATAGTCTTTCAGAGAAACTTAGAAAAGGTTATCTGAAAAATCCATAGGCTTAGAGGGGGGAGGGGGGGGGGCTTTTGTTTTTCACTAGATAAAAATATTTGCTATTATCTTGCAGCCAACTGGTTTTAGGGTATACAACAATAACTCAGCTGCTCTTATTTTATGCTCCTTCAAAACACCAATATGAATGCCACATAATCAGGGATTTGGTTCACTTTTTAGTTTGCTCAGCCTAACACTTTACAGGATTTCCACCCCTGACTTTCTGCAAGACTCATAACACACTACATCTCTGATGATAGCCCCTTGTTATACGTAGGGATACAATGCAGGGAAACAAAATTAATGTCTCTTCAATAATCATGCTCCCCCCCCCACCCAATCCATGTAGAGGGTGATAAGAAACACTACAGAACAATAATGGTAATATAAATCAGATAATTAAGCAGAACCTCTCAGGATGTCACAGAAGGTTCATAAAAAGCCAATTGATCACAATGAGATCTTTTGCTTGCAGCATCTTGTTTGCTTTTTTGAGAGGTTATGGTTAACTAGGGGTTTCTTTTTCCCCTGCCACAAGAGTGGTCTTAAAGAATTTGAACCATTAGGTCCAGAAGACTAAACACAGAAGCAGCACAAGAGATGGGGGGGAAAAGGAAACAGCTTCAAACCGTGGGTTAGAGACAGCAGGGAGAGCAGCAAAGAATCAGGTTACAGGTTACTTGTTATCTGAGAATGTGAGTTAGAATGGACACATGAAAAAGAGAGGAAGAAAAAGATTATTTTTTGTAAAAAAATACTATACAACAACTTAACTTCAGTCATTACTATTTAACACCCAGGAACTCACTGGAATCGTGCAGACTTTTTGTTCAATGTTTTTGATAGGGTTTGTTTTGTCTCTACAAAAAACCTAGGGTCTGCTATTTTCCTCTCAGTCAGCTGATATTAAAAGTATTGAATTTTCTCAGCATCTCATCTACTGCTGTCTTGTGACTTCTGTATCAAACTCATAACAGTAAAATGCACAAGTGCATCAAGCAGGCAGGAACAAGGGACTGGGAAGACCTGTGCAGTTTTAAGTGAACAGAGCTGCTGGAAGAGCAAGGAATGGAGAGGCAAGTCTGCTGTCCATCAGCTTGCTCCACTCACTCCTTCCCCTTGTTTAAGATACCACTGCTCACCTTTATCCACCAATAGATGCTGCAAAGTGCCACAAGGTAAGAGCAGAGATGAAGGTAACTACTGTGGAATAAGCGAAGATGCTCAGTATGACACATGTTCACCTGCTCAACCCCAAGCAGCAATCTTGCACACACACACAACCTGAAAGGTTTGCCCAGCCTCAGCCCTAAGCTTCCTGAAGCCATATTACCAGCAAACTCACTTCTTAAGACAAGAGACAGAAGTAGAAAAAAATCAGGGTTTATATTTAAGTTTACAGTACACACTGTTTAGTACTGACATTTTTACAGGTCTTCTGGGATGCACTGTTCATATGGCATGCTTGCACATTTGACAGTATCCTACACCTACTCAATTTAAGTAAACTCATTTCAGAAAAGGGATGAAGCCAGAGATAAACTATAAATACAGCTACAAGAATGGCATCAACTGAACATTTTCTTTGTAACTGGAAGTATAGTTGAAAGTAGAACAGGAAATGGCAAAAAGCACCTAAAAAAAGTTATGGTTTAAAAGTGCAAGCATCAGGGACAATGCAAGGACTGTATCCTCTCAGCTTGAAGTGGCAGATAAGGCTGAATGAAAAGCAGGGGTAATTTACCCAGACTTCAGGAACACCGCTGCACAAAGAGCTGGCCCATGAGGTGAGCAAGGACAAAATTCTTGAGCACACAAAGGAGCTGCTTGCGGCAAGCCTTGCAGCTGTCTCAGAAGGAACGCGCACTTTCCATAGGTATTAAAATCTGCTGAAACAGGTGAAAGGTGGAAGTAAATAAAGACTTAATTTATAGCAAGTTACATAGACTAAGAATATAGGAAAGTAAATGACTTAGCACAGGGGAAGTTTGAGGCAATAGGTCATGCAAAAAGGGATGAAAAGGTCACAGTAATTATGTATAGGCTTTTGGATCACACAATCCACTGCCAAGTCCTGGATGTACTTCCAGCAACATTAAGATGTTGCCTCCAGCTGCTGGATGACAGCACATCCTAGATTTATGAGTATTCATTGTTAGGATGTAGACACTGCCTTTTGGGAAACGTTCCTTTAGAACATGCTCCAGTGCCATTATGCCACACTCTCTTCCTTCTCTTGGGGATCACCATCAACACATAAAAGACAGCTTTGAGGAAGGAAGGCCCATATTCATTCTTAAAAGAACTTTAAGTGGATCAGGTCAGGCTTTCCAGGGGATACTCAATGAGAGCAGCCTGGAAAGTATCAGATTCCAGCTGACAAGAGATGTCAAAATTCCCAAGTGTGGTTTCTTAGGAGCAAGCTACACTCACAACACAGACAGACAGTGGTGAGCCTTTTCAGGCATTCAACCCAGTATACATTACGCTTACCAGTTTCAGCCTTGCAATACTTGTTGATTTTAATTTTGTTCTTATTTGGGCTCTACTCATGTTTGCATTTTTTAATGCATATGTGTGCTGACCATTTACCTCCAAACTGTCAATAAAGTGCCAAAACTAACCAGCTGCATTCAGGCTCATTTCCACTCAAGTCTGAGATGGTGTCACAGGTAAGAGAGCACCTCTGGCACAGAAGGTGGGTTTCCCATGAGAAATGTTAAGACTGGAGAAGTTCTGGCTGCCTCATTCTACAGAGAAAAAAGGAGCAAGGCAATACCAACACAAAGATCTGCTGCCTCTTCTTTTGGTGAAGCAGTTGGAGACTGTCACTCTGGAAGAGGCATGGCGTGGAGAAATATGCAGGACAAATGCAATTAAGGCTGTGTTAGTCCAGCACAAGATAAGATGCACTGAAGGAGGTGGAACTCAAATACTTAGTAGAACACCAAGCACTAAACTTAGACACCACCTCCTCTCTGTTGGCTCCTTTTTTTTTGTACACCTATCTGTCGCTTTTTAAGAGATCTCATTAACAATACCAAGCAATCTAAAAAACCTCGAAACACACACCTGATTTCTGTTCTAAGCATCCAAATCATGGAATATTTTTCAAAATCCTACACATTATTGTTCAGAAGAAAAGAGAAAAGAAGATACATAAAGAAATCTCTTTGTAGTGTTTTATTAAAAGAACGAGCCTCTAGAAACGACCAGATGATGCAGTGGTAAAGCCACCTACAAAACAAGACAAATTAGCATCACCCACTGACTGTTGATCCTGGTGGCACTAGAGGCAAACTGGGAAGGGCTTCAGGGTAACTTTGTACTCACAGATTGAAAGCATGAAGAGTTATAAGCAGAAAGAAAGAATTAAAAGATAGATAGTATAGCAAGTTCCTTCTCTCCTCTTATTTGACAAATTTCTTTTAGTATGGTGCAAATCCAGAGCATTGATTCCAATACTATTTTACTGGATTTCCATTTGTTTTGCCTGGGCTCCTACATTAATCCAAACAATAAGGGCCTTTAAAGCATTCATAAATAACCTGCTGCTGCTGCTGGCACCTAGGAGCCAAGTGCAGCAATGTTAAGCAACAACAAATTTCATAGTTCAAGAGGCACAGTTAAGGAAAAAGGTTGCTCAGAAAATCACTCTCATTTAGCACAAAGATCCTTAAAAATTGCATGAAATCAGTCAAGTAACTATAGAAACCAATTTCTTCAGCTCTGTATCACACGTCTCACACCTCAATTGTCTTTATTATCGTCTGCTGTCAGATCCTTAATCAGAAATGTGAACAGGCTTGATGATTTATTCAGCAGGGAAAAAGAATCTGTAGGTCAAGTGAAAAATTTCACACACACATACACACGCACACACATCTTCAACCTTAGGTACTTTCATTTCATTCTGTTCCCAGTAGCTCTGGGGGCAACTCCAGTGAGATCCAATATTAAGGCTCAATTAAAATAAGCTCCAATTAGTGGAGCTTTTTTCTCTCAGGCTAGAAAAGTCAGGAAATGGATATTGGGAAATGTAAAAAGTCAGCTACTGAGAGGAGGCTGCAGACATAAATGAACTTATTTGTTGATTTCTACAGTTGCTATGCAGAGGCCTCTGGGAGTAAAAGCTTAACCAGTCTAAGCTATAAACTAAAACCCCTGCAGCTAAACATGAACTGTGTGAAACAAGGGCTCCATTCCAGAACAGAAAACTGCTGGGCCCAGAAAATTAAAAGCCAGAGGCGTTTTCCATTTAAAACTAAATCCCAGTACCGCCTCCCAGCCAAAGAATTATAAGCAGTATCAGATTTACAAAACGAACAATTACCCTGGAAAAATGTAGCCTATTGTACAGTCCCAGATGCTAAATCTCAAAGTTTCTTCCCCCCCCCCAATCCCACATTATATTCCTACCAAGTGTACTGCTGCAGTTTACAAAGGACCATTTCTAGACAGGACTGAAACTACGAAAATAAAATGTTAAAAAAGAGAGCTCATAATTCATTGACCTCATTTGAAGCACTGCCCTTGCCTGTGGCAGTTCCTGTCCTTCCCCAAGGCCTCTGCAAATGGTATGCAGCAGCAAAATAAACCCTGACCTAATTGCCAGGACAGGACTGCCAACCTTCTCTCAACATACAAAGGCAAGCATGGTAACTGCAAAGTCCTACCTCTTTCGCTTTCTGCTTTAACCGCAGTTGCTCTGGATCTTCTTTATTGGAACGGCTCTACCAAAGGAAGAGGAAAAAGATTGAATAGAAATTACTGGCATCCAAACACCATCGTATCCGTTAAATATTTAATAAATGACAATTTTCTCTGGTGATTGAAAGATTTAGCTTCAGGGGTGAATGCCTCAATCCAGACTGGCTTCCCTCCCCCTCCACATACACACGCACACCCCCCTCCTCATCTGGGCCGGCTGCCTCTGCTCTAGCCTGAAGCAAGATTAAGCTGAAAATGATGCTAACACTGTCAGTCAGGTCCAGTCTAGGCATGATGTTGTTCATGTCAGCAGCAGACACTTAAAAAGAACAGGAAGTATAGGAAAGAAAGGGAGTCATACTCATGCAAGTACAACACAATTCTTTCAAGTCTAGATTAGGCTTCCACCCAAGGGGCTCCAGAACTCAGCTTGAAACAAAACCAAAAAAACAACAAATAGAAGTTGATCAAGTCACATCTGATGGAATAACATCTATTGATTTTTTTTTTTTCCTCCTGTTCTTGAGAGAAGTGGCAAAAATGGTACTTATTCTGTACTAGCAGTGTCTTAGGGTACCAGCTCCAAGGATAGCCCTCTAATCTGACTACAGAAAACAAATACATCTGGCAGGATGGCGGCTCTCACCAGGCTCGAGTTTGAACACGCACAATGAACCCATATTTTCACACAGTGCCATACACAGATGTGGAGAAAGATGTACCAACTTCAGAGCCAGAAATAGAGCCAGGAGGGGACATTTACAGCTACGCAAAGACTTCTTTTACTTAATTTTCACCAGTAGGAATAATCTCAAAAGAAGAGCTCACCCCACATTTGAAGGAACTCCTGTGATTTTTGAAGAACGTAAAAAGCTAAAACCCTTTTCAGTATAGCCTAAGCTATCCAAAATGTTACAGATTTCCAGTTACAGGGTTGATGGTTACTACATTTAAAGCAGAAATAGGAGAAACCTGAAGATGTTCACCAGTCTAAAGGACACCACTACTTCCTTGGAAAGGAAGAAGTGAAGTTCTTACCTTGGCTGCTCGAAGCAACATTTCACGTTCCTCTTCGACCTTTCTCTGCTTTTCTAGGTGATCAAGCTTTTCAAGAAATCTCAGCTGCGCTTTAGTGTCGCTAGATACAATGTATCTATCGCTCCCCTGGAAAAATAAGTTTGTTATAGACAACCAGACTTTGATACACACCACTAGAGCTATTAAACCCAATGGGAACAACCTGAAAAGAACAACACTTTTTTCAAAACTGTAAGTGTAGGCTGTTTTAGAAAGTCTACAGATGGTAGGTAGTCACTTACACATCTCCTCTCCTCTGAAGCATGTTTCCTGGCATCCGTGACTAGTAAGAGGTTATTGAACAACTGACATTAACAACATCTAGTCTCTATTGACTGTAACAACAACGCCTTTAAGTCTAAAGGCTAAAATTTTGTTTTAAACAGCAGCTTCATATCCAGTAAACATATGTACAAGATTGTCTTCTGGACAGGTTAACAGGGAAAAAAAAAAAAGGAACCATAAAGCAGCAGAATATCATATCCTTTCCTCTTTAAAGAGAAAAGGAAAAGAAAACCTAAATGTGACATTTTAAGTTTCTAGTGTTTGGTGTTCTAGTTTCAACCATTTAATCCAGAATTTGAAATAATCCTCACCTGGTATTTTCAAAAAGAGGTTTTATGGACTAGAGGAGTGGTTTAGAACTAGTTATAATAAATCTTGGGGGTGGGTAAAGTGACATAAATTACATATGGTTTATATTATAGCTTTAGGAATACATATTTTTGCCTCATTGGATTCTTTCAAGTAGTAGACTAGTAGTTTATTTTTCATACTATTTTTGCCCTCATTGGAAAACCTGAGTTTAGTTTTACTTTAGATAGGAAAGACAGAGAAAGGAAAGATCTAAAACATGGTCAAATGCCAATGAAAAGCTTGTTTTTACTATTCTGCTCTTCCAAAGACAGGCTGTTTAAGCCATGCATTAGCTGCAGGGCATTAGGCAAAACAAGGCAGGGAGCCTATTCTAGATGAGGCATGTCTATGCCACCTGTTTGTACCACTCCGTAATGCACATCATCTTTCTCTGTTACTTTGTGAGCTTTTCTTTTCCTCAGAAATTTGACCTTGGGCTTTTACCTGCCAAACACACTATATACTTTCAGCAACCCTTCTTTCTACCCTACGTCAGTCTCACACTTTAATGAAGCAACCCTGACACACAACTATTCTGGAATAAACACAGCATATTTTACAGCTGTATTTTAGGGAAGGGTATACTTTACATATACGGACTATCAGTGACTTCAGTTGCCACATTTTTTCCCAACACACTACACTCAGACTCTTCTTCCCACACCCAACCATATACTTTTAAAAGCTATAATGAAGGTAAAAGTCTTCTTGTGGGGCACCACTGTCTCCCAGACTGAATTCTCACAACCCAGCCAGAGCATGAAATCAATCCCTTTTCTGGTATTAAGTTTGGTCCCTTTCAATGAACCACCACATTGGCACATATTACCAGCTGTGGCACAGACCACACCATTTGTTGCAACCAAAGAGACTTTCTTTCCCAAGCAGAGTCTGTGGCTCTGCAAAAAAAAAAAAAAAAAAAAAAAAGTCCAACAAACCTTTCCTCCCTGCTTCTGTTACTGCTCTATTTTTTTTTTTATTTTTTTTTTTTTTACATTGCTCCCCACAAAGCATATGCTACTTTCAGTCTCAGTACATCAGTACAATCTGTTTTGAGGAAGCCGTTTATAATAATCTACCAACATGCTGCAGTCCTTTTAAAGGGACAAAGAAAGCTGTATTACAAAAGATTGTTTTCTCCAGAATTTAGAATTGTTTTGCTTTGGAATGCCCACAGTCAGACACTCACATTTTTTAAAGCCATATCCAAGACCCTATGCCAATTAGGAATGCGAGCCTCTAAACCAGAAGCACCCCAACACACTACCATGAGCTTATATGGGACAAGAAATGGGTGCATCCACAACAACAGTATTTCAGCTCATCAACAACTATTTTAAGATACCTTATTTCAGGAATTTTTAGAAAAGGAACACCTGCAGTTATACGCTGTCCTTCTCAAAACTTGTTCTCTGTGATCACTTAGCACTGAATTGCTTAGAACACGTTATATTGCACACCTATTCAGAACTTATAGCCATTATGATGAAGCAAGTCAGATTCAGTGTTTGTCCATGCAACAGTAACTTCCTCCCGTAAGGCCAAACTGTCCCCAGCTACAACAGTGCAATCCCAACAAAACCAAAGTTACAAGTGCAACTGAGACCAGAATTTAAGTTACTGATAAGCACATAACTATAATAAAGAGCACGGTTAGATCTGTATGTGCCAAAGCTGAACTTGCATATGTGACAGTAAAAAAGTAATTTTTACTTTGAGCTAAATTTAATCTGGAGTTCACCAAAAGTGAAAGCAAGCTTTTTCTGCTGTCCTGAAAGAAGCTATTGCTTTCACACAACAAAAGCACATTAGCATCTATAAAATCTTGTTATGAAATGAATTCCTTCACACTTTTTCCTTCAAGAGATATGCATATACTCAAAGACGTCCCCACAAATGCGCTCTAAAGCACAGCCAATTTGTCCCAAAATTTTTGCATTAGGTTTTCAAATATGCAATGTTAGGTTTTGAAACATGCAGTATTGAATGGTACGTCTTTAGTGAGAAGACAGCTGGCAACAAATTCTACAATTCTTCTTCAACAGCTCTATGCCTTGTCTGCAATTTGCAACTTCCTTTCTAGATTAACATATACCTGTCAATGACTCTGAAACCTGACTAAGACGATTTACCACCAGAAAGGTACTGCATGTCCAGGGGCAGAAAGGAAAAACCCACCTACAAGGAAGCTGCGCTCCACTTCAGTCCACCAGGAAAGAAGTGGGAAGAATCCCACAAAGACCAGTTCTCCCACAAAATCTGAACAGTTTAAGTCATGTAGAACAGCTTTGCTGAGGACAAAGCAGAAATGCAAGCAGTTTCAGAGGCTCAGCTACTATTGTGGGAACCTATTAACCTTTGGCTTTTATACAGTCAACCCCTAAACCAAGTTAATAACAGAAAAGCTTCTGGTAAGCTAGTTCTGCACTCCGCAGTTTGATGGTGGCATGGGGTGGGTGGGAGGAGGCTGGCTGATTTCACATCTAGGAGTGCTCACTCCATTACATTTAGAGCTTACCCCTTAAATCAGTGCAGCTGCCACACCATTATTGACCTACAGATAGTGCAGTTTAGGGTTGCAGTGCATGACTGCTACTTTGCATGGGGAAAATGTTCTCATGGGGCAATGTTTATAGCACAGCACCCTATCATGCCTCTCGAAGTCATGTGCTCCTGGGCTCCAAACACAGGAGCACGACAGTCATCTCATGCTGTGCTGAATCCATCCACATCAAAAACTTTTTAACCACTGTACTGTTTAGTTGTCATTATTAATTCTGGTTTTGGGTGTCATATTATGTCACATGCATGCTCATACCTCAGCAATTCTCCAGATTATAGGAGGGAAGCAGCCGAGGAACCAAACCAGCTAGTTAATTGCCTTTATGGCCTTACCGAGGCTCTATGAAGGCACTGCAACAAGTCACAGCACAGAGTGCGGCTTACAACAATCTGGAATGCTATTCCTGCTTCAGATAAAGAGACCACCATGAAAATTTTATTTAAGTTAATGACTTCCAATTATGTAACTTTTTTTCCTTAAATTTAGCAAAAAAAGGGGAAAACTTGGAAAATCTACATGATGGAATGGTATGAAACTTTTTTTTACCCTGCCAGCTTTCTCTCTGAAGGGCTACCCATAAGATGTAAATTGCTTGGCATGAGCTGAGCAAATTGGAAAGAAGAGTTTCCCAGTTATGATCCCATGAAGCACTTTGGCTTTTCACACCAACTTCTACCCAAACAATAGTTACCTTGGCTTCACCACAGCTACCCCTATTACTGTCCGTCTTTTTGTAACAAAGATAGGCCAATACAAAGCTTTACAGGGCAACTGCTCAATCCTCTTGGAAAGGCTCTGGATAATTCTCAGAAAAACATAGAGTCCACGTTGCACACTGGTACCTATCAATAGCCTAGAAGGAAGAGAGTACAGGGGCAAGCACTGGGGGAGATGGAATAGAGGGCTGTGTAAATACGTAAAACCATAATAGGGCTCCAAAACCCCCTAGTGTTCTGTTCTTGAATTTACATTTCTAAAAGCCTGTCACAGCATCTCTCACAATATTACTCAAACATGCCATCCTGTAAGACACTCCTCTAGTGTAATACCATCTTCCTAACAAAAGAGGGTGCCTGTAACTCTAGGATTATTATGCCCATTACTTTTTTGTTTGCTTGTCTGGTTTTTGAGAAAAGAGGAAAAGAAAGCAAGCTTATTGTAGTCTTACAATATTATCATTGCTTACAGCAATTCAATCAGACAAAAACCTATACGTTTTTCTATTGCTTTAGTTCAATGAGAAAGAAATCAGCCCTATCAAACCCACTGTCTAAAAACATTCCCTCGTGTCCTTGGTGTCTGCAAGACTACTGGTTACTCCGGACTTCAGCTTCCACCCCACTTTTGCTTATAAGCTCTCCCACTTTGGAAAGACAATACAGAACACATTCAGATTTCTGAAGACTTCTCAAGAAACCTCTATACTTTTTCTATATAAATTTTTTTCTACTGCACCATTTTCTGGCAAAGAACAGCATACTCCAACTGCTCCAGATATCACTATAAATACTTGGAAGTTTCCAAATAGTTCCTGCTCTTTACTATTGCTTCTCTAGTGCTTAAAATACTATAAAAGTATTCAGTACAAAAATAACTCCTATCCCATCAGTTAGTTGCTCTTGTTAATTTTCATTAAGTATAAAGCTCCTGTAAAAAAAAAAAACCAAGCATACAAGAACTTAACAATGACAGATATATCTGCTTCTAACCTCCATTTTTTTTCTAAACAACTTAATACTGAAAAAGTAAGGACTAATATCTTATTATTGAATGAAAAAAAGAAAACCTCAAAAAGCTATTTTGGCCACTGGTAAGTTATTGCTTACCATTTGTACCACAGAAGCATCTTAAGGGATACTGGCTCACTGGAACCCAATATACTTTATATTGAATGGAGCTAATACAAGATTCCCTGCCCTCCCTCTGAAGTGTCACTGGCAGGAAAAAAGTTCCAGAAACTTTAAGACCAAAGGGGTCTCTGCCTTCACATGAAGCACTTTCTAAAAATAAAATACTCAATTCAGTTTCTCAAGACTTTATACTGAGCCAATACTGCAGTTCCACCAACAGTAAATGCATAAAACAAACACAAGCCCCTAAATCAACCCGACCACCAAGAGCATTAAAAAATAGTTTTACATTTACCATGCAAGACAGATTTTGTATAACAGCCACTTCTATGGAAGAGGAGAAATGCATGCATTTACTCTTATGCTGGCTTTTAAGAGCACCTATCCAACAAGTTGAATAGAAAACATGAGGAATAGTTAGAGGCTATGAACAGTTAAAACAAAACTAGCCTTTGGTAGATACTGAAAATGCACATATTGCATATGATGTGCCTATACTTGGAAGACGTTTACCTTCAAGGCTGCAAAGCAGGAAAACTTTGGTGCAAAACTTGCTTAATGATTTCCTTTACCTTGTGGGTTGATACTCTGTGCTGAGCAATTACAGTTAGTTTTTCTAGGAGCCCTCGTAATCTCTCCTGTGTAGCATGGGAGATCAAGTTCACAACATCAGAGTTAAGTTCCATAATGTCATGCCTTTTACCTGTGGAAGCAGAGAAAATCCATTACGTGTTTTAGTAGTAGCTGATAATTGAAATAATTAGCACAGCAGGTATTCTGTTCCCCCTGGAAGTCATACCCATTATGAATAAAGGTTTGGAGATTATGATTTTCCTGGTAAAGTCACAACTTCAAAGATCTCAGACATTACATTAATAAAACCTAGCCTGGAGCTTCAGAAAATATAGACATTGTTTCACTTAGCCTCCAGAACCACTCTCCTTGCAAGGTCATTTATAGGACAAAGTTAATAAGAACACAAATCAAGCTTCATGTTCAGGGAGGGGGAGAAGTGGTAGCTGTAGAAATTAGTGCCATATTTTGTTAATTCCAGTAATTAAAAAAAAATAGAGAATTACATTTTGCCCTGCTTGACACTGTGCTTGTTAACAACTCATGACATTTATTCGATGAGTGGGAATGTTTTTTGCAGCGCACTCCAGGCACATGGGACCCTCTCACCTGCCTCACCTGACTGGAACAGGGCAAACAGACTCAACCATCCCACAGCAGCAGCTCAGACAACAACACAATCAAGTCCAGCCAGGGTCATCACGCCATCACCCTCAATCTTTTCTCTCACCGTATTTCAGTGGCTGCAACTAAGGCTGGCAACAGCTCTGGCCAAAGCTGTTCCAGCCCCGGCCAAAGCTGTCCCAGCCCCATACCCAGAGCTGGGCATCACCCTTGAAAGCTTCCTGTGACCGCAGGCTGCTGACAGAGAAGACTTCCCGTGGTTGGCACCACTGATCACTCAACACAATTCCATCAAGATACCTGGACAACAGCATCTTTTCCCTGGTAGGCATGGCAGGCACCTGTTTCACACGCTTCATATGCCATACCCATCAGAAGTGTTTTTCCTTGCCCCTCACCGCATTTACAGCGGCTGTAATACTTTATGAGGCAATATATAGCACGCCTTCAAAACCCATTTCGGTATTTATTGCCAAGTGCAGTGTTAAGAATGGATAAACAGTACACTGTAAAAAAAATAATCACCTATTTCATTTGCCTTTGCTACTCTAACTGAAAATTAATAACTATCTCTCAAGACAGGGAGAATATACAATGTTCTCCCAGATACGATCAAAGTGTTCCCACTATTTGAACTCAGCCAGTAAGCACTGGTCCGTACCCTCAGCTGAGTGCAAAGCTCATTTTGCTCAAGCACTTTCCAACACTTCCTCAGCAGTTTCCCACTATACTATCAGAATACTGAAATGGCAACTTAAAGACAAAACAAAATCCCCCCCCCCCCCC